TAGGATCTAACTCCAAGTGTCGAGCTTCTACAATAAACCCCCAAACCCAACGGCCCTCTTTAGGGCCACAAATTTAATAAAAACCCGATATCTGCCTGGAAGTCACGTCTATCTTGTTTAGAGATTCGTTTCTCGGTAAGAATAAAAGCCGAAGCTGCGTTAAATAACTATACAAAATACACTTGCCCCCAAATTCTCCTCGATTCCGCCGATCTAATTTAGCCGCCGATCTGCGCACGACATTAGCTACCCGAAAATTTCGTGGGTTGACCTAATCTGGGCTGAACGCGCTTGGGCTTCGTTGTAGGCTAACCCAATTTATCCAGCGCGAACTTATTATTTCGCCGGAGAGCAAGTTACCGCCGCTCTTTATACGCCCACTTTTTTGTCATTTCCGACAAGGGGACCCCTCCGATCTTGCCTGGTTTTTAGCTGCAAGATGCGCAAATACCCCCACGAAACATGTAGGCTACCGCTGTTCAGTTGCTCGCGTTAAGCTTTGAACCTCCAAAAACACGTTAAAATTTATTGTTTTCTGAGCTTTCAACTACCGTATAGGCTGTGAAAGGTGCTAATTTGGTCCCGGTGTCCCGAGTCGACAACGGGCCATCATCGGTCCGAATGGTTTCTGGCGGATCTCCGAAAAATAAAAATACCATGTGCTAACTCCACCAAACTTCGCGCAATAATTAGTGGTCATCGTCGGATCATCTGTAGCGAATTGTCCGCCAACCCTGCAATTACTGAAAAGTAGCAATTCCCCTGAGAAAATTTGTAATTCTCGGTCGTTCATAATATTTTTTTGCTGACGATATTGCCAATTCCAGTATTTAGGAGCAATCCATTTCCTAAACACGGCGAAAATCATTTTGGGAAGCCGTATTCTACCTCGAAATGGCTGTGCTCTACCAACTTGCTGGGCTCTTCTTCTTACTGCTCGTCGCATATGAGCTATTCGCCATCGCATCGGTTTTGTTTGCGATTTTTAAGTGAGCATAATATTTTATTTTTAAATTTGAAAACCATATACTATGGTTTTAATATAGAAACCAGCGGGGGAGGAGCCGCTTCGCGACTCTCCCCCGCTGGACCCCGTCTAGGCCCTATAAATCGAGCGCCCTTCCACATAAAGTTACCCTGAAGAAAGAATAACGCATCTCCCATGCAAACCTCTTGGTATTGACATGCGGCGCAAGCTTAAATTGCTAGTGTCCTTATTAGGCTTGCGGCGCATCCTTGATCGGTTTGTTTCGAGATAAAGCCTGCGGCGCAAGTTTGAGCGGTTAAAGGTACACTGAAGTCTCGTTGGTTTGGTTACCGGCCGGTAACCGTCCGCAGGATAGCAAACAGGGTTACGGTAGGCGCTCGCCGCGGAGCAAAACCGAACCCTGACTGCCAGCTTGGGGCAGCGCCTTGAACCACTAGGCCAAGGGAGAGACGGAAAGGGGGAAGGGGGAGAGGCGATAAGAAGGGGCCGGCTTAGCGGCGGCAGAGAGCCCCATTTTCTACCGCGACCGAACTTTTTGAACGAGATTTTAGTGTACCTTTAACTCCTTCTTTAGCCTGCGGCGCTAGCTTCAATGGTTGGTTTTATTCGTTAGCCTGCGGCGCTAGCTTGAGCGGCTTGCTTCGTTCTAAAGCCTGCGACGCCAGCTTCAGCGGCTGGCTTCGTTCTAAAGCCTGCGGCGCTGCTTGAGCGGCTGGCTTCGTTCTAAAGCCTGCGGCGCTAGCTTGAGCGGCTTGCTTCGTTCTAAAGCCTGCGGCGCCAGCTTCAGCGGCTGGCTTCGTTCTAAAGCCTGCGGCGCTAGCTTGAGCCGCTGGCTTCCTTCTAAAGTCTGCGGCGCTAGCTTGTGAGGTTATCTTCATACTTAAGCCTGCGGCGCTAGCTTGAGCGGCTTGCTTCGTTCTAAAGCCTGCGGCGCCAGCTTCAGCGGCTGGCTTCGTTCTAAAGCCTGCGGCGCTAGCTTGAGCGGCTAGCTTCGTTCTAAAGCCTGCGGCGCCAGCTTGAGCGGCTGGCTTCGTTCTAAAGCCTGCGGCGCTAGCTTGAGCGGCTAGCTTCGTTCTAAAGCCTGCGGCGCTAGCTTGAGCGGCTAGCTTCGTTCTAAAGCCTGCGGCGCTAGCTTGAGCGGCTAGCTTCGTTCTAAAGCCTGCGGCGCCAGCTTGAGCGGCTAGCTTCGTTCTAAAGCCTGCGGCGCTAGCTTGAGCGGCTAGCTTCGTTCTAAAGCCTGCGGCGCTAGCTTGAGCGGCTAGCTTCGTTCTAAAGCCTGCGGCGCTAGCTTGAGCGGCTAGCTTCTTTCTAAAGCCTGCGGCGCTAGCTTGAGCGGCTGGCTTCGTTCTAAAGCCTGCGGCGCTAGCTTGAGCGGCTAGCTTCGTTCTAAAGCCTGCGGCGCTAGCTTGAGCGGCTAGCTTCGTTCTAAAGCCTGCGGCGCTAGCTTGAGCGGCTAGCTTCGTTCTAAAGCCTGCGGCGCTAGCTTGAGCGGCTAGCTTCGTTCTAAAGCCTGCGGCGCTAGCTTGAGCGGCTAGCTTCTTTCTAAAGCCTGCGGCGCTAGCTTGAGCGGCTGGCTTCGTTCTAAAAGCCTGCGGCGCTAGCTTGTGATATTAGCTTCATTCTTAAGCCTGCGGAGCAAGCTTGAGCCTCCGTATCCCGCGGCGCAATTTTGAAGGGCTAGCTCTGACCTTGGGCCCGCGGCGCTAGCTTGTCCGGGCAACTTCCTTCCGAAGCCTACGGCGCTAGTTTCAGGGGCCGGCCTGAACCTTTAGCCTGCGGCGCTAGTTTCGGCGGCTAGCGTCGTTCCAAAGTCTGCGGCGCTAGCTTGAGCAGTTAGCTTGATTCCTTGGCCTGCGGCGCAGGCTTGAGCGGGTAGCTTCATTCTATAGGCCGCGGCTTGAGTGACTAACTTCATAATAACGTCCCTACACGGAAATCTACTCCGAATCGCACTTTCCGAGCAAAAAGCAAAACAACTACGATATCCGAGGATCGAACCTCCGATGGTCGGATTAACACGGCGAAGCGCTTACCACACGCCATGCGATGCTTGGCAGCACGCGTCAAACAGCCGTTTTATGCCTCAAGTGGACTGCCCGGGGCAGGGGAAGGAAACGCATCGAGAGGCAGATCCAAAGAGACGACCAAACTCGCGAGTGCAACTCGCAAGAATGAGGAAATTTGTATTTTTTCACATTATGCAAATTAGCCCTCCCGGACCCCCAAAAAAACAATAAAACCGGCTTTAACTTTGTAAACTTGTATTTTATCGGGATTCTGAAAGCGCGATCGGAAAGAGGAGGGTCGATTCCCCCGGGTGACGGAGAATCAGGGCATTTTGGACCCGGGAAGGCCCTCAAATCGGGCCTCGAACCTGACATCCACACACACACACACACAGAGATACACTCCAAAATTATATAAGGTAGGATTCAATCCTTCAGAGGCAAATTCTGCCAACAAAAAAGCCCGATCTACATCATCGCCGCCTCCAACCTCCTCGCCGACTTTGGCATGCTCACACTGCATTTAGTATATTTTGTGCCGAGCTTATTATTCGAGGTACCACGCAGACTTTGATTTTGATAAAACTTGATTCTTAGTCATACATATTCCCAAAAGGCATCAACGACAATCTTACCATATTTATCTCCTCACTCTTCATGTTTTTCTGGTATCAACTGTCGTTTAGCCAGATTTTGATGGCCGTGAATAGGTGGGAATACTTTTTGAGAAACCTTACGCTCTCTGGGTTCCCTATACATTCCATTAAACTTTTTTTTAGATTGGTTGTGATGTGTTTTAGCAACGTGAATGTATTCACAAGAAGAAATACCTTGATATTTGCCATCTCGACGTACAGTATCGCCGCCGTCTTAGCCATACTTTCTCAATATGTTTTACCATGTTGCAGGTATCAAATAGTTTCTACAATTTGTTACAATCTAATTAACCTGTAGATTCTCCTTCGATTACTTCGTTTTTTCGTATCGTTACATTACGATAGACGGGCTGATGAATTATCCGAACACCTTTATCGATATGCCGTTGAACGCATTGAGCACGACAGTTTGTGGCTGTTGCTATTTTGCGGTAAGGTACCCTTCGCCTATCTACCATTTGCATAAGCCACCTCTGTGAGTTCATCCCAATAATCTCTAGATTGTTCTCTGGATCTTCTCGATCAACGCCAAAAAGGGCCAAGGTGCCGCTCACTCACACGAGACAAAACTTGAAATTAAGGTAATAGCAAAAATGTTGGTTCTTGACTGTTAGCGGGGGGGGGAGGCGTTTCATTTTTCGCACCTACATCCACCTGTTAATGATATATGTAGTTTAATAGTTTTTTAGTAGCTTTTCACTGCAAGAAAGTTATAAAAATATTTTAACACATTTTGGAAATTCGCAAATTTTTACTTTTTTGCCGTTTTTCATACATTTTTGACTAAAAATCAAATAATTTTGAACATTTCATATTTTTATATTGTTTTTACATTTAAAAACTAGTAAAATGCTATAAAAATGGCTGATATTTCGTTGTAGGGCCGTAGAGTAGAAAATAATAAAAATGGTTCCTCCCCTCCCCCCCCCCGCTAACAGTCCAGAACCTCTCCCAACCTCCCATTTTTTCAAGTATGCCAAACAATTCTTCATCATCACCATTTTCTACATGAACGCGTGGACCAGTTTTCGGTATCTACCCGTGGTAGGTAATTGAAATTCTGTCCCAAAGCACACCTGATGACTCTAGCTAATTGGCGGATCGAATCTCTATCTGTACTCTTTTTGCTCGCTAAATGCCATGTTGAGCTTTGGCGCCAACGGGCTTGTCTACTACCACACAAATTCTGAGGTATAGCGAGGACTACATATTAATTTAGATTGCTACATTTTAATTTAGATTAAAAAAGCGCTGAATAAACGCGTCTCGACCACCGCAGATTCGAGTAGCGGCAAGGGCGAGTCTCAGAAGCGGAATTCGAACGTGACCGTGCGAAATGAATCTTGTTGAATAAATTAACAACGGCTACAATTAAAAGAAAAACAATTAAACTACAATTACAAAAGACTACAATTAAACTAAATTCAACAGAAGACTACAATTAAAAGAAAAACTTTTCGTACCCGATTATATTAGGCTTGTCCGCACGGCCGGTGTGGACGTGAATTTTACTCTTCTTATCCATTTCGACGAAGATGTAAAAATTATCAGTTCAAGCCCGGAATTTTCAAAAGCCCACCTCCTAAAGGCTCTCTGCCAGCCTACCCAGATCTACCGAATCGATCTCCCAATTCGATGACCCGCCGGGCAAATAGACAGTTTGTTTACCCAAATTAACTATGCACGCACGATTCGCTGCCATATGGCAAAATCCGTCATTCCTCTTTTTCCAATTCTGATGCGACTAATGGCGATGACAAGTTTACCCAAGAGGTATTTTTCGAATTACTTTGATACCCCGTAGATACTAACCCTGTAGATATAATTCAATTATAGCATTGATGATATCACTACTTTTATTGCTCTGTCTAGTGCAATGGAGGGTGGATTTAATCGGAAGGACGGTAAAAACGAACCGAAAACTATGCTACCACATTTTAGCGGGATTCAGATCTTCCTAGGGCTAATCAAACTAACGTTCGCATTGTTCAAAATATACAGGTAATAACGTTCAAATCGTTAAAAGTTAAAATCGCTAAAAACGTTAGGTATCCGACCCCGAATCCCATAAAATCGTCAAATATCAAAAACTATTCTGCCCACGTGATGGACCTTGTAACTTGGTCCGCCCGTTTGTTAACTTTATAAGTCGACAAATGGTAAGAAAAACCTTCTCTGTAATTTTTAAATTTTTAGGTCGCTCCCAAATTCGGTATCTCTGCTTGTGTAATTTTCAAAAATTTCTCCACCGTCCTTACCGCAATCCTTTGCTATATTTTTGATCATCAAGCATACCGGAAAAATGTGCCTAATATGATGGAAGATCTCTATGATGGAAGGTACATTGGAAACGCCGAGAATATTTGCTGTAGATTTTGCTTGAATAAAAACGAATACTACCGTTTCGATGACCGGAACCGGTTCAAGGATAAAAAGTGGATAAATTATGTTTTGGTTCGAGACCCGCTAGAGCGCTTCATTTCCGGATTTGTGCACAAATGCTTGAGGTAATTTGTATATGCCTTACAATTCAACCGAATCTTTAGGAGTTCCGCGCGAGGCCAAAATTGCTATCAATGTGATGACAATATCACCTGCCTAATGGAAAATCAGTACAAAAGCCTCAAAAAGATCTCCGACACCGGCATCGTGCCCTAGTGGGTCAAAAACTAAAAATTAGACGTCAAATTCAGCCTACATACGGTGGAGGACTCCCACTTTGCGCCGCAAAATTGGTGGGTAATTTGGCCCTCCGACAAGTACGTTCTAGGAATTGCGAGCTCCAAGCTCACTACAACGATTACAAGATCTTCAAATATTCACATGAAAATATTGGAGCAATCTTGGAGTCGGTTTTCGAAGATTTTGCGAATGCCAGCGTGCCAGTAGATGTGATAAATGATATAAGGCAGCAGGTGGAACCCCAAAATTGATAAAAATATATCCATTATTAGATTACTGGAAAGAAGTCCTACCATGCTACCTACGATTCTGATGACGTCGTAAAGTACCGGAAAATGGTCCAAGAAACTCCGTACCTGCGTGAATTGCTGGTGAAAATGTTTTATCACGATTATGTGCTTTTTGATTATCCCCTGCCGGAATTGTGAGCAGTAAAATAAATTTATTAAAAAACACAAAATATAAATCATTAAACGTAAGTAAATAAACTATTAAAATTTATGAAAAACAAACTTTCTAGAAACTTTGTTATTACTGGGACGCTCACTTTGAGGGGGACCATGACAGTTGAGCAACGACGTTTGAGCAAATCGGGAAAAACGACGTTTGAGCAACTGCGACTTTTAAGCAAACACGGGAAAACGACGTTTGAGCAACTTTCGTAAGAAAAAAAAGAAAATGCATGTAAAATAGCCGTTTTCATCGCTTTTTCTTAGTTTTAAAAATACTTTGTGCTAACTAAAGTCTTCTAAAGCTTAAATTATACCCCGGATAGGCCGACTTTCGCGCCGTGGTTCCCTTTTTGATGCCACTTGCATTCACTCAAAAAGGTAGTTTTATCCGGTTTTCTCTTTATTGTTGGTTTTTCGGTACCATTTCTAGCTCAGATGCATCCACATGTTTGATAAAATGGCATTTGGAAAAGAAAAACTAATCAAAACATGTCATTTATTGACGATTTGTTGGAACTTTCAGGTCAAAACCCAGGTTCGATTCCTATGTTTGCTTTCCTGATATTATAAACTTGTTTCTTTACGTATTCTGATAAAAAAAGGCCATACAGAAGCACAAAACCTTCAAAAACTAGGGTCTTCAGGACATTCAAGGCTAATTAGCTGAAAGAAATACATTCCCTGTGAAACACGGCCGATCCGGGGTATAATTTAGGCTTTAGAAGCTCGGCTAATGATTTACCCATGGGAACCCACGATTTACCCATGGGTAAACCCACGATTTACCCGTGGAAACCCATGGGTTCCCATGGGTAAATCACGGGTTTCGTTGGGTACCCATGGGTTCCCATGGGTAAGACGTGGGTTCCCATGGGTAAATCGCGGGTTTCTCTGGGTACCCATGGGTAGATCGTGGGTTCCCATGGGTAAATTACTGGACAGGAGGTGCTTGTAGTTTACACTTTACTTTTATTTTACTTTGCTTTTCACTAATAAGGTGGTGCTTTCAAAAGGCAATTGTTTGGCAGTCCGACGCTGAGTTGTGACCCTCATGTAGATCGAAGCGGGAGCATCGGCAATAACTAAAATAGCCACCTTTTTTGGCTTTGTCGTTTTCATAGCTTCAGGGCTGCTGCTTTTTTGATGAACCTACGGTTAATCGATTGGAAGCAGTCGATGGGCGTGTAGAGCAGTCCGTGAATTAGGCATAGAACCTAGAAAGTATCCGTTTACTGCTCAAGGAGCTCAAAAACATACTTACTTTTCGTTTTTGCCTTGCACGGCCTTTATAGTAGACGAATCCCCTCATAAAAACACATCGCAGCTACCGATAGCCCGAATGCAGGTTCAGTACCTAAAGAAAGAAAGAAAAGTTGTAATCCTACTTACCATCCAACCTATTCTTTGTAGCAAGTAAGTGTACCCTGAAATTTCGAACGTATTATAGGAAACAGAGGGTATACTTACAAAACCCGCGTAGTTGATGGTGAAGTACCTATTTCTTCTTGAAAAAGACATAAATAAGCACTACAATACGTCTAAAAAAATTAGATCGATCAGAAAAACATCGTTGCGTCGAAGTCAATCATCATTTAAAAACCTATAGTACGTTTAGCAAACTTACCTACTCCAAGTATTTATCAGTTCTTATGGATATAAAAGTTTATTCGGTGAGAAAGTTAGAAAAACAAAATAAAATGAAAACTTGCGAGAAAATTTCTGAAAAGTAGGATGTGATCGTGACAGTACTATGCACGTTTTTACCCATGGGAACTAGTGTTGGACAGCACCCCGAAGAGAGCACCCCGGGGTGCTTTTTTCCCACCCCCGGGGTGCTTTTATTTTCACCCCGGGGTGCTCTAAAAAAGCACCCAGGAGTGCTAAACTCACCCAGGGTGCCCCCAAAAGCACCCCGGGTGGGAAAAAAAGCACCCGGCCGAGAGGGGTGCTCTGGAAAGCACCCGTCCCCAGTGGGGTGCTCCAAAAGCACCCCAGCCCCCTGGGGTGCTCCAAAAAGCACCCCGGGGTGCTCGAAGCACCCCAGGGGTGCCTTTGGGGTGCTCTGTGGGGTGATGTCTGGGGTGCTTTTGCCAATGACCGCAATATATCAACTAGGCTATTTTGATCGAATCAGGAGATGAACATCATTTTCGAGCAGTTCGCACAACTCGGCGCCAATTCGATTGCAACTCATTTGGAGGTCGTTTCGTAGTATTTCTTCGAGGTTGTTGAACACGGCGGACGATTTCGAGACGTTTTTTCTAACCGCGCTAGCGGCCTAAAGAAGCTTGATAGAATTGCTTTAAGCGGTTTAGAAGGTTGCATTTTGAGCGCTCTTTCCAACGGTATACTTGCCGTTCTCCAAAATCGTCGGGGGACAGAGGGGAGCGTTTTAGTGCCGAAAGGTGTACCTGTCGAAGTTGTCTCCGCACTAAAACCATCATATCTCAATTTGCACTGCGAATCCTGGATCGCGAAGGGCACCATTCGAAAGAGCGCGAAAAGTTCTATCTGCCCAACGAGTTTCAGCTCTTTACCAGCTTTGCCCAGCCTGCTAGCGCGGTTAGAAAAAAACGTCTCGAAATCGTCCGCCGTGTTCAACAACCTCGAAGAAATACTACGAAACGACCTCCAAATGAGTTGCAATCGAATTGGCGCCGAGTTGTGCGAACTGCTCGAATGATGTTCATCTCCTGATTCGATCAAAATAGCCTAGTTGATATATTGCGGTCATTGGCAAAAAGCACCCCAGACATCACCCCACAGAGCACCCCAAAAGGCACCCCTAGGGTGCTTCCGAAAGCACCCCGGGGTGCTTTTTGGAGCACCCCAAGGGGGGCTGGGGTGCTTTTTGGAGCACCCCACTGGGGGACGGGGTGCTTTCCAGAGCACCCTCTCTCGGCCGGGGTGCTTATTTCCACCCCGGGGTGCTTTTGGGGCACCCCGGGTGATGTTGAGCACCCCGGGGTGCTTTTTTAGAGCACCCCAGGGGTGAAAATAAAAGCACCCCGGGGTGGGAAAAAAAGCACCCCGGGGTGCTCTCTTCGGGGTGCTGTCCAACACTAATGGGAACCCATGGGTTCCCATGGGTAAAACATGGGTTCCCATGGGTTCTCTCCCCCCGAGATTTACCCATGGGTACCCATGGGTAAATCGTGGGTTCCCATGGGTAAACACGGGTTGCGGGTTCCCATGGGTAAAACATGGGTATCTGTGGGTTTTCGCGGGTACCCACGGGTAAACGTGGGTTTTTCTGGGTTCCCATGGGTAAATCATTACCCGAGAGGCTTTAGTTAGCACAAAGTATTTTTAAAACTAAGAAAACGCGATGAAAACGGCTACTTTACATGCATTTTCTTTTTTTTTCTTACGAAAGTTGCTCAAATGTCGTTTTCCCGTGTTTGCTTAAAACTCGCAGTTGCTCAAACGTCGTTTTCCCCGATTTGCTCAAACGTCGTTGCTCAACTGTCATGGTCCC